CAGACTAAACAAAGAGGCCATCTTGTGCCTATACAAACTCCCAGTGATGACTTTGGATCTGGGAAATGGGAATAGATAGCCTGGCTGCTCATGCTCCTGGGGGAGGGGGTTGCATGATTCTGAAAGGTTTCTGACCCCCCCCCCCCCCCCCCCATTTCGCATAGACTGGTCCGGCGTGGAACTCAGACTGAACTCCAAGGAGACGGGCCAGATGCTGACCAGCACCGAGATCAAGTTCTACAACTGCAGCGTGCACCAGCTGTGAGTAAACCCCCCCACCCCCCATCACCTCCCATGCCGTGGCCCCCGAGGCCGGCAGCGGACAGCCAGAGCGGGGTGCCTGTTAATTGCCGGCATCGGTGGTCCGAGCGTGTGGCTTGGCACGGACCTGGGCTATCCTGGTGAGGGCGCGCTGTAATTACGCTGGGAGATTTCGCTCTGCGTGACCCATTTTCCATCACTCTTTAATTATTGCTGTTACAAATTAAGTGCTGAAATTTGTGCATAATTGATGGGACGGAGTGTGTTTTTTTGTACCCCTTAATGGAGGGGGTGTTGATCCGATTTATTATGCTGGACATTGGGAGAATATTTCCCAGGAAATTGGACCAATTTCCCCTAGACTGAATGCCCTCCATGTTTGACGGTTAAAATTCACTCACCGTGGTGGGGGAGTGAATGGTGCCTTATGGTTAAGGCCAAAATCCCCCCACTGTGTTGCTATGAAGCTATGAGCTGACCACAGAGTTGTTGCAGTAGCACAGTCTACCCAAGGTGTCCTGTGATGCTGCCGGCCACAGGGGGGCGTGAGAGACACTGCGTGGGGCCTCCTCTTTCCCCTCCATGTGCTGCAGTTCACCCTCCAGCTGTGCATTACATTACGCTCCGCAGTTTTTAAGGTCTCCCACTGACCCATTCACCTGACCACCCCCCTGTACCTCTTCCTTTTTAATATGACCCCTTCCACCTCCCCACAGACACCGTACGTGTTTGTGGATCCCGTCAGTAGTCTTGGCTATGCAGTGTCATTTTAAGTGCTGACCTGTACTGAACAGGGCACCACCTGGGGCAGTGTGTGGGGGCGAGGTGTTATTTATAGCCGCCTTCCATTGGGGGGCAGTCCAACTGGGCTCAGAATTAGCACTCGCGTGTAACTCCCCCCTCACCGAGGAAGACCGCGTCTCTGCGCCTTATTCCATAACTGGGAAACATGGCGAGCGGCCAAGTGCCTCGGAGCGTGACGATTTAGGCGGCGGATTGGAGCGAGCGCAGGTTTGGTGCGTGCCGGGACCGGGAGGAGCCTGTGGGGGGGGGCGGGGGCGGGGGCGGGGGGGGGCCCTCAGCATGGACCAGTCCTCCTCTGAATATCGTGACCTTTCCTTCCTGAGCTCCCCAGCATGCTGACTGGGGGCTTTGGAAGAGTCTGACTCATCACCTACCCAAATTTCTCTCTCCCTCTATCTCTTTCTTTCGCCATCTTTTTTCTCTCTCTTCCTCCATCTTTCTCCTCTCTCTTCCTCTCTCCACCTTTCCCTTTTTCCATTTTTCAGTTTCTCTTCCTCCCTCATCTTTATTTTTCTCACTCTGCTCCTCTCTCTCTCTCTCTCCTCCTCTTACTCCCTCTATCCCTCCACCCTGCGCCACACTACCCCCAGTGTTGGGAGAAGGGTTTGAGGCATCCTACAGACTATTGAGGTACATTGTGCCTACCCAGCATGCCTCTGTGCGGCCCCTCAGGACCTCGCTCACTCCGCTCGCAGCCACCCTGTCATTAGCGCTCTGATACTACAATGCTAAGCTAATGGTAATTGCGGCAGTGCGCTGTGCCTTTCAGATTCCTGTTTATCTGTGCTGCCAATGGTGCCCCGCGGTGCTCGCGCTCAAAACATTGCCCGCCCCGCGAGCGACTCGCCTGGCTGCCGATACAGTTACAGGGCTCTATGGAGTCAGCGGCGAGGTCCATTTCAGGATCTGGGTCTGGTTCCACTGACGGAGCGTCTGACTGCTTGCATTTCCTCCCGCGCAGCTGCCTTTCCTGCGTGAATAGCGCCTTCCGCTGTCACTGGTGCAAGTACCGCAACCTGTGCACCCACGACCCGACCAGCTGCTCTTTCCAGGAGGGTCGCGTCAATGCCTCCGAGGTATGCCCACCTCACTGCCGCATCGGAATGGTCAGCTTGGTGCCCACTAGAGTGTAGTCCACAGGGGCATGTGGGTGTGAAAAGGATGGGGGGAGAGTCCCCAAGGACATTGCTCATCGGCGCCCCCTACTGACAGCTCACTAGCCTTTCAGTAAAATGCTGTAGCTACCACAGTGCACATCTCAGGCTCTCACACAAGTTCACAGGCGCACATGAGTGTGAAAGGGATGGGGGGAGTGTCCCCAAGGACATTGCTCATCGGCGCCCCCTGTTCACAGCTCAGTTTGCACGTGTACAATGCTGTAGGTGCCACAGTGCACATCTCAGGCTGTCATACAAGTTCACAGGGGCACATGGGTATGACAATGATGGGGTGGGGGGGGGGGATTCCAACAAAAACTGTTAATCGGCACCCCCCAGTGACATCTCAGTCGCTGTCACTACTGTGGCTGCTATAATCCACATGTCAGTATCCCAGAGTACTGATTTCTGATACCATTTGTAATCTTGTGACATTTCAAACACCACATTTTAAAAAAGCTTCTGATTCCTGAAAATCAGGCTAAATAATTTACCGTTTTGTACGATTCGCAGGCACCTTGAAACCCAGCGGCTGTACTTTGTGTCAGTGTCTCCGTGACCCTTTTAATCTTTAAATTTTATGACATTATCCTGCTTTTGGAAGTGAAGCCCACATTTTTCCAGCTCCCCGAATGACGTGTGTCCCCAGCCGGTCACAGCCTCTGACCCCCGGCCTCTCACACGGTCCCCTCGTAGGACTGTCCTCAGCTGGTGCGGTCGGAGGAGATCCTGATCCCGGCGGGCGAGGTGAAGCCCATCACTCTGAAGGCGCGGAACCTTCCCCAGCCGCAGTCAGGCCAGCGTGGCTACGAGTGCGTGCTGCACATCCAGGGGGTCAGCCACCGTGTCACGGCCCTGCGCTTCAACAGCTCCAGCGTGCAGTGCCAGAACAGCTCCGTACGTTCCCGCCGAAGGCCTGACCATCCACCTGTCTGTCTGTCCATCATCAATCCATCATCCATCCATCCATCCATCTATCCATACATACATTCATACATGCATCCTCTAACCATTTATTCTGGTCATGAGGGCATGATGGTTGACTCCCGTTACCATGGATACACACCCCTGCCTCCCCTATTATCATGAGAATTTATCATTGTTGAATTTCACCTGCCCGTCACTGCCATGCCCATAATGCAAACCTTCACCTGATTGGTGCCCCATTTCTGACATCACACGGTGGTAGAAACTCCCATATATGGCACGGCCCAGGCTGTTTTCTTTCTGTTTCCCCCCCCCCACAGACTGATGTGTCTCTACAGCAGTACACAGGGATACATCATTATAAGGCCTGATGAGTGTCACCACCACCACCGCCCCCTAACCCCATCCTCCCCCCATTAATGTGTCTGCCACTTACTCCATCATCCTGGAGACAGGCGGACATCACCGCTGGATGTGGCTAAATGCTGCTGGTGCTACAGTCCAGCCGGACGTCCCGCAGCTAGGCTAGGGGGTGGGGGATGGGGGGGCAGGTAATTGAAGTCTGCTGATGCCCCCCACCCGGCCCAGACCATATCATCTGTCCCAGCGGAGCACGGTCTGACTGACAGCCACATTGAAAGGAGGAGATAAGTCATGCCCCCCCCCCCCCAGACCTCGAGTTA